CAGTTGATTAGTAATCACGTTGATTCTGTTAAACTGACTGTTTTATATACTTTGAATGTTAAAACTGATGGAATGCGGCGACATTTATTTTCGTCGTCTCTTCAGATACTTAATTAAGCTGAAGACAACCTATGCTTTGCAAATTTTAGGGGGCGCACGCCCGCTACGCCCCCGCCTGAATCCGCCTCTGTATGTTGAAGATGCACATAGACCTAGGTGAGCAACTCAGGCTCTTTATAGCCTATATTTTCATAAAGAATTGCACAACGGAAAAGCAGTTAAGACACTAATGAAGGACCTTTGATACAAGAATTTAAGCACACTATTCAATACGAAAATTACATTGTAAAAATTTTGTGCGTCAGGATTTATCTTCACCAGGGAGGTTTAAACCCAAAAATTCGAAAGACATAAAAAAAAATTATATGCATTAGCCAAGGATGTACTTATTGTATTTTTATTTATGGCATTTAGCCATTCAGCCAAGAATGTTTGATTGATGAACAACATTTGAATTGTATACCTTTAATTTCTTTTAGAGATATAATTTCAGTTGACAGGTTTGTAGTAGGAAATATACATGTCGTTTTCAGAGTCATGTACATTTTTCCCTTTTTGTTTTTCTTTTCCTTTTTAGCTCACCTGGCCCAAAGGCATCCTTGGTTGTAAATTTTTTCAAAGATCTTTTACTATTTTTCAAATTTTTGCTTATTATCTTGAAAATTATAATACTAGTAGATAAGCATGAACTGTGAACAGTAAAAATGATAAGCTACACACGATCTACAAACATGCCAATATTAAAAGACAATTTTGTTTATTTTTGAGTATTTGGCTCTAATCTTGATAAGTATAATAAATCGGTAGAAACTGTTAACAGCAAACATGATCATAATACGAGATCAAGAAGAATGCCAATATGACAGAAACCATTGGCTGGCCTCTTTTATTAGTAATAGTTAAAGACGATTTTTTACTAAGTCTAGAGATTTTGCCCATTATTTCAATTTTTGACAATTGAGCTATTCAGCCTCTTAGGAGTCTCTTGTTATGAAAACTTAGTCTGCTGATAATTTATGTCAAATAACGGTTGTTGCTGACATTGGGGTTTCGGGACATGCTCCAGCTCGAGGCAGAAGTATTCCTCAAATAATTGCTATCCATTATTTTTGTAAGTCTGTTATAAAATAAACTGCTTTTCGACTGAAAAGATATTGCTCGAAAACGAAACCTTTCCAAAAATTTCAATCATTTATAGGCTCAAAAACCTTCAACTTAGATCTTCTAACTCAAAAATCAATAGGAGTCTTGTTCTTTCTAAGGGACATTTTCGAGCTTAGTTTTGTAAAAGTACTTTGAATTTTTTGAAATCCTAAGGATTCTGTACATCAGTAATAGATCACCTTAGCTGTATTTGTCAAAACCATTTGGAATTTTGGGTACTCAATGCTCTTCAACTTTGTACTTTATTTGTCCTTTTTAGCTCGTCTGGCCGAAAAGCCAAGTGAGCTTTTCTCGTCATTTGGTATCCGTCGTCCGTTAACTTTTACAAAAAAATATTTTGCCTATTATTTTGAAAACCGCTATAAATTGAGAAAATCTGACACAGCAAAAATGTTCAGAATGTTGAGCTCTAACTATTGAACATGTATGTTAAAACTGTCAGACAACTTCTTATAGAAGTAACTGCCTTGAAATGACGAATTTTACCATTTTAAAATATTTTCCCCTCTTATTTCGAAAATAATAATAGATGGACAGAACCTTTAAATAGCAAAAAGGATCAGCAAGACGAGATCTACAAATAACATGACCAGTTATTGCTTTTTTAAAATGACAATTTTACCAACTTGATTTTTGCGTTTTTGCCTTATATCTTAAAAACAATAATAGATGGATAGAAACTTTAAAAAGCAAGACAAAATCTATAAAATAAATCAACATGACCAAAATTATAAGTCACATCCTTATGGAAGTTATTGCCCTTTAATGACGATTTTTCTCATTTTTCCCATTTTTGTCTATATCTTGAAAACTGTATAAGATAGATAGAAACTTTAAATAGCAGGCCCGAGAACACAGTTATTTCGTAGTGCATTTCTTTTAGACAATAAATTCAAATTTAAAAAAATCGCACCTGCTCTATTTCAAAAAGATTTTTACAGTGTAGTGTACTACTATTGATACAAATAATATCAAAATTATAGAAACTTCTACCAGCTCTAACTCAAAATATTGACAATTCTGTGTTAAGGGGGGCTAAAATTCAGTTTGACAGCTTCAGACATTCTAATTTTTGACCTTTTTTAACTGGACCAAATCACTACTTAACATAAAGATTCAGCACCCAAATTTTTTAACATGTAATTTCATCCCCTTACTCAATATTTCATGCATAAAATATCAAGAAATAAATTGGGAAAGTGTATCAAAAAAATATGCAAGTTATACACTGTTCACACTAGGGACTATATTTGTAGACAACGAAAACCAAAGGACGATAACTGTGTCCTTGGACCAGCACAAATGATCAGCACGACAAGATCTACAAATAAGCCGTATGATCGAAATCTTCAGTCGACTCGTTATTAAAGAGATTGCCCTTTAATGATTTTTTTTGGATAAATATTGCATGAAATGCAAACAAACCCCTATGTTACTGACTTGATATCTAAATCTTCCAAGCTTTATCACTACCTTTGAGATACACAAAATATAGTGCATTGATTATAACATTCTATACATCCTATCCATGAACATTTCCATAAATTTATCAATAAAATATATGCTCAGATAATCAAGTCACAAAATGATGTTACATTTGTCAAGAAAATTACATAACCTTTGCAAGGTGTAGGAATCTAATATCTGTTCTCAAGATATCAATGATGTCATCGTTAAAGTCACCTTTAAAAATTGGAGTTATCTTCCTTTGTCCAGAATTGTAGTTGAATCAACTACAACCAATGCTTTATACAATGCAATATTTAATTTTACTTCCCACTGATAAATTAAAGCAATCTTTACCCTTCAGTGCTTACAAGCACTTTGATTTAACATTTTTTGCCTATTATCTTGGAAACTATAATAGATCAATAGAAACTTTAGAAAGGAAAAATTATCAGCAGGATAAGATCTACAAATATGTTCACGTGACTGAAATTGTCAGTTAACTCTTAATAGAGTTGTTCCCCTTTAAAGACGATTTTTACAACAAGTGGTAAAAAAAAATGTTGAAGATGTAGGTGAGCGACACAGGCTCTTTAGAGTCTCTAGTTAATTTGTTTTATCCGAGCGTCACTGGTGAGTCTTTTGTAAGCGAAACGCGCGTCTGGCTTACAAAATTGTTATCCTGTCTATGAAGAGTTAATTGCATATAATATCCAAAAAATAATTTCAGTCTGTCATGCTGTTTTTACCTTGACCCTTGACATAATGACTTTATATTCCACAGACAAAAAATTCATGCTATCAAGTACTTGTTAACTTGATTTTTGACCTAAATCAATTTCAAAATAAAAAAGGTCGACATTTTTAACAAAAAGGCGCAAACTTCACTAAAGAATTGTAAAGTCCGATTTCCACAATATCAGTCAATAGATAGGCAATATGACCATGACCTGTGACATACTGAACAAATAGGGCAATAAATTTTTTTCAAGCTAAATTTGTTGAAGGTAGAATAGAGGGTTAAAAATTCTCAGGAACAAACAAACATATAAGCATAGACAATGAAAGCCACAACCTAGTTACCAAGTACTTGTGTTCTTATATATTTTTTATAGTAAAATCAATTGAAATAAACGATTATATTCAGCTATCGTGATTCTACAAAAATCTGGGTTTTCGTGAGACATTTCAGATTTTCTTGCAGGTTACATTCTCAAATGTTGATTTTCAACATTTTTCTACTCTAATGAACATTTTTTTTAACCTTTATCCCTGATAGTTTCATTCTTATCCCAAATGTGCTCTTGGCATGAACCCCTTTCTTCTTTTCCACCCTTTTTTTTTGTTTTTAGCTTTTTTCTTGCTTGTTATATTCTTAAACCGGAGAAACCCTCAAATTTTTGTTTTTCACTTTTTGTTAGGGGGAGGCTGGTCAATAATAATGATAATAATAAGAAAAAATATTTAAAGAGGGTAAACGGTATAAACTTCAATAACAAAAAGTGGAAATAAATAATGATTATCTTGTTTTTACGGTATTCCGAAAGAAATCTTGTGAAAATTAATAACGCACCTCTAAAAATTGTAAACTACATACGATTATGTCGAGATAACTTATACTAATCACCTTTTTTAAATACGATCTTCAATTAGTTTTCACATGAGATATCAAATGATAACAAACTGATCAAAGTACATGTACTATTGTGTTATCTTTTTGGAGGTATATATTTAAGTTAAATGGAGTGGATTCAAATTTTTACCGTTTTACTTATTTCCGGTAAGTTTCTAAAAGGCCTTAATTGTAAGAAAAATCTTTTATCAATTTTACGCTTTCCTTTGAACAAATAAAAGTTTAAGGTATAATAAATTACATGTATGTGAATGACTTGATAACAATGTATTCAGTCTTTGAATATGAAAATAGAAATTGACATGTTGCTGTTCACCACAATGAAAGATGTAGTCTTGAACAATGACGACCGTAAATGCAGATAATATTGTAGGAGTTTCTTATTCTTGACCTTTTATGGCATACTATACGGAATGGGTTCGTTCGCTGTTGAAGAGTGTACGGTAATTTAATGCTTATTATATACGGTATGCATTGCTCTTATTGTTGAAAGTTTACAGTGATTTGTAGTTGATCATATCATTGTCGTCCGATCTTTGGTGGGTAGTTCAACTGTTGTCTTTTTGGCAATCGTACCAAATCCCCTTATTCTTTTATTAATGTAATATACCTTGGAAAGTAACACAAAAGGTTTTTTTTTCGTAATTTTATTAAATTAATAAGAAAGTTCTATTTACAATTCAAAACATCCATTTGGCATATAATTCTTTTTCCATTTCAAACTACCAATAATCTTTCTACCATTTCAATCTCGTGTATACATTCAGCAATAAGTTTCTCGATCATAGGCACTACGACTGCATCTTCTTGTTCTTTCTTTTGTGAGTTTTCGTGTTTGTCGTTTTCCTGGGCTATTACACATGGATTATCTCCCTGTCCTTTAAAATCGTCAGAACAATCTGTTACTACAATTGTTGGAATAGCTATGTTTGATGATACGGATGACACATCTATTGTTGATGTTGTTGCAGAATCTTCCGATGTCAGGAAATAAAACCCCCATTTCTTCCCGCTAAAGAGTGCATTTCGTCTTATCCAACCGAAACCAACATTTCCGTTCATTAAAGACAATTTTAATTTGACTTGGTAACCTGTTGTAATAAAAAAAAACATATAAGATACATACTACTAACACAAATATATTCATTTACTGGCAAGCATGATTTAATTGGCAATTTGATTAAAAGGAGACGCAATTGACTTATTTTTCTTCCAATGATTTTTTTTCCAAACTCTTGGCTCTGCGCTTCGAACGCAATAATGGAACAGAGAATGGACATATGGTTTCTGAAGGTTTTTAATTGCTTATGCTTCTGTAAGAACCAAGTAGATAGTGAATTTGGATGATCAATTATGATTTATTCTTTTAAGTCAATAGTATTGATCTATCGATACAATTTTGTTATTATATAATTCAAAATCGGTCGATTGAGGCATTCCATCCTTACAATTGATAGTTTAACTAACCTGCTTTGATGTTGACGATTCCTCTGCTCTTTTCTTCACGTGTTACTGGTTTTGTGCGAATTCCGCCATTTATGGGGAAGAAACAGTCATCTAAAATAGTTATAAAAATGAAACATTAGATTAATGAACTATATTGTAGTAAAAGGTTTTACTCTCTTTTAACAACTAGAATATCTTTGCAGACAAATCTAGTTGGATTCTCCTGTTAGTTAAATCTAACATATACTACTATGTAAACTTTCATATGCAGTTACTCAGAAACGACAGTTCTAAATATCTGGACGGATTCTCTTAATTAAGATTTGCATTCTATTTAAATGTTACGATTGATAGATTTTTGTTTGCCTAACGTCCAGTTGCAAATATTTGAATTATAATTTGATGCATATTGAGGACGAAATAGTGTTTATATGTGCTCTATAACTAATAAAGAAAAAACAGACATTTTGTTTATACATGAAAGAAGAACTACCTTGACGCTCACGACTGTCTGTCTTGGATTTCTTGAAATAGTTTCCATTTATCATTCCTAGTACTTCGTATTCACACTCCTCGTAGTATATCTCTGCCAATTTTTCACAGAATCCAGTGGCTTGGATAAAATCCTACTGAACAAATCTTGAATATAATATTGCTTAAATACTGCAGAGAAGATTACAGAAGTTTAGAAAGGAGACAGTAAATTTTTAAGTTTTGATAGAATTTGATGGGTTTCTGTACAACGTGTTATATTTCTGAAAAATTCTCCATGAATGATTAGTCTTCTTAATGTTGTTGAATTACCAAAATATCTCAAATTGCAATGCAGTTCTTCATAAAAAAAATTCATTTGAATTCTCATAACTTAATCTCTGTTAAAAATCCTAAAAGGATAACAACTACAGACTGTTGAATTAATTTAGTATCTATGTGAATGAATACTTAATGTTTTTAAGTAAAGTATTTCTGAGTCTTATTTGAAGTATACAAACCTCAGGTACTGGGGTGTTGTAAGTGGCTGATGTTATCATATATAACTTTTCAACGATGTCATCGATGTTCACTGTTTCAAGTTGTTGATCAACCAAGTTAAATCTGAAAAATAAATCATAGCAGGTAACACACTTTATCTTCAGTTCCACGCATGACATTGGATGTCTTACCGGTTTTTTTTTTTTTTTTTTTTTTTTTTTTTTTTTTTTTTTTTTTTTTTTAAGTTTTATTGTACTCTTTCTACAAATTTCCGGTTACATTGTAAAGTGAACTGAGTTTTTAAAGTTTGGTTCATAGTAGCATAGAGTTGTAATAGACATAATTTATGCATTGGGCAATAAATCCCAAAACCATCAGACAACACATTTAAAAATACTAGATGTAGGTCAATACAAGATAAATCCTGCCACCGTCATATCCTGTTAAAAGGGAAAACTTCACAGAATAATTTAAATTTCATACCCATCTTGTTCCTTTGCCATGTGTGCAGCCTCTTTCATGTCAATGTATGCCTGGGATAGGCCATCTTTCATTGTAGAAGACAACTTTTCTCGAATTGCAGCCACTTTCTATAAGAAAGAAAGAAATATTACTCAAACAACCTGACAGTAACTAACTCGAAAAGACTTGCATGAAACCGTGCAAATATGGGACCGCCCGATTTGTAGTCTGTTGTTTGGAATAAAATTAAGATTTCCAGAACTCTGCGTTCAGCAACGTCATGAACAGTAAAGAAAAAAATATCATAACCTTGTGCAAAGAAATTTGATGGACGAAGCTTTCAGAAACTTATCATAATACACATTTTACCTGCAAAATAGCTGTCCTAAGTTTCTTCTCATCATCCATTTTTTCTTGGAAGCAAACTAGTATAGCTCTGTAACGTTTTGCTGCCTCACTCTGCTTCACTACTAGATTATCATATTTGGTTTGAAGCTTATTGGTAACAGCTTGTCCTTCATCATTGTTCTTGCTCAGGAAAGTGTCCAATCTACTGTTCCTGTGTTTCAAGCGTTTTTCCCAGAACCAACAATCCTTGAAAAAATAAAAATTAGACAAAGAACATAAGTTAAGAAAATAAAGGTTTTAGCCAAACATTACCTACATGTTTATAACAATTCATTGAAATCCTAATTTCGAGCTCATTTGGTGATGTCATCATAATGGTTTTTTTCACAATTTTCTCTTACATTAAAAAACTTCCGATGAAATGTCGACATCCTCAATACCAAGTACTGATCCTTCTTTACTGGCAATTTGATTAAAATTTTAAAAAAAATGGTACTCATTTAATGTTTAAGGATGTTAAGTTGAATTGTGATTTGAATAGCCAACATAGACTGTTTATTTATAATAAAGCTCTCTTATCTTTGAGTTCATATGAACAAATGGTCACTCTTTCAAGATGTTATTTTCATGTTATAATGATCAAATATGAATGTCGCATTTTATTGTTGATTAACATAATTAGTTTCAGTCATGTAAAACTCTACAAAGCAAACGTGTACTGTTTTTATTAAACTTACCTTTTGTAAAGCCCTGAGTCCTTCAAGACAGATGAAATGATTCCTTATTTTACGGCTTACTTCCTTTTCTATTTTAATAATATCTTTACAAATACTAGTATCAAATCTGAAAGAAAAGAAAAATGGGGGTTGATATAGTTTTGTGATTTCAATGAAATTTGGCGATTTTTTTCTGTAGATTTTGTCTTTATCTTGAAAACAAAGTTCTATCAAAAGTTAAGCTAACACAAACATTAAATATACAATAAAACACGTTTAACCTAAATCATATATAACTATTAATCTTGTACTCACGTCACGTCAAAGTTTGGTATCTTTTCTTTCATAGCTGCAACTTCTGGTGTCTGACAGTGTAGAAGAAAGGCGGTGTTACAAAGTGGCGCCAAAAAGTCCTTCATTTCTACCATACCTGTCGATTAATTATTTTAGATAAAATAAATACAGACAATTATACATCTGAAATTATTTAGTCAGCCTACTAGTGTTTTAGTTCGTAATCTTTTCATTTCATCTTAGAATTTCAAAAGTTGATAGAACCGAGAATGACAATGTTAAATCAGTATAAAAAAAAGATACGGGGTATAGTAAGTGAGACAGCAACCAAACGACACAAAAAAACAAAAAAACTTATAGAGGTACATATACGCTCTTCAATAATAAACAAACATTTATTAAGCTATAAATAATACATAGTCTATAGAAAAGATAAGAAATAATTTAATAGAAACTACAAAGATCAGAAATCATCTACATATCCTATAAGGACATTCACATCAAGATATAATTTAAGATAACATAAGACGGACCATTTCTATAGTACTGCAGAGGATTTGTTTGCCACAAAGGATCACTTATTTACTTTTTTATCACATTTATATTCATCATATTTGGGTTATTTCCACAATATGAAAAGGATCAACTTATTAGAAAAAAATTATTTGCTACATTACAATGATATATACCGAAATTGTCATTTTCCTGGGAATAAGCCATTCTCTTCGCTACAAATATTGGTGCTGACATTCCATTTATTGTAAATGCTTCGACTGTATATTCCTTCAGAAGGCTACAGTACCATTTGTACTGGTCAATTCTAATCGGGAAAAAAATCACCAATAATTCGTAATAAATAAGATAAAGATATACGTTTAGCTATCCGGTGTTATATTTATATATATAAATATATAACTAATCAATAGCTGTATAACTATCAACGAATAAAAACATCTAAAGGAATGTTATATGCAATATTTTTTATGAATATGATAATAGTTTGTCCGTTATCATGATAGTTAAATAAAAATGGAGATCTGAATCTCCAAAGCACACAAAAAAGAATATGGACACTTAATTCAGATATACTTGCAATATTTGCATTATTTATATCTTTTAATTCGCAAAAATCATATAAGTAAAACTATTTGTTTTTGTTAATTGATAGCAACAAGGAAACACATTTCCGGTATCTGAAAATTTCGTAGATAGTTTTTAGATGTTTAAATTACACATTTTCGTAAAAAAAAATGCAACTGTTATCTGTGCAAGTCCTAAACCAATAGGTCTGATGTTAGTCGTCTTTGTTGAATTGTTACACTTCATTCTGAAGTCTCTGAAAACTTAGAAAACCATGCCAACCAACATTCATTGTCATCGCCTTTGATCTTTGAAAGGTAGTTGTTTCATTGCAATTATACCATTTCTCATTATCTTTATATTAAAATACAAACTTATAAAGTTGATAACCACAAAGAGTAATTTAATACATACCTGATAAACTGCTTCAAAACGAAGTCAAGTCTTGACAATGAAATACTCTCCATCTCTTAAGATTAATCGATTTTATTCTGCAGTTCCACTAAGCGTTCTCTTTACTACTAAAGCGGCAACACTACTGAACGTCGTCAAGGTTCCACAGTTTGGACAACGTCACAATGTAGCGATCGAAACGTCGTTTACACTCGGATGTCCTTCGCCGACTCATGGACTTTTCCGATTACTTCCATTAAGCATGATATGCGAGGAGTTGCCCATTTGAAATGAACAGTACACCCACATCTCCTTTAATTCATATTTATCACGAAGTTTGTCTTTTCTGTTGAGTGGATATGGTAAAATGTATCCCCGTGCTTGAGCTGTTTGTGCTGTGTGGGTATGGTGGACTCTATCCCCGTGCTTTTGGTGTTTGTGTCGTGTAGTAACGGTGGAATGTTTTCCCGTGCTTTTGGTGTTTGTGTTGTTGGGGTACGATAAAGCATATCCCCAAGCTTGAGGTATTTTTTCTGTCAGGATACAGTAGAATGTATCCCTATGCTTGAGCGGTTTGTGCTGTGTGGATACGGTCGAACATGATCTTTGACAGTTTGGGAGTTTGGCTCGGTACAATTTAGAGCATGACATAGTGTAAAGACACCTATCTTTTATTGAAGACTGTATGTTGCTCTCTATATGTTTTTGGTTATTTTTGTCTTTGGTTGCTCACATTGATGAACATCCCACATCTCTTTTTTATTCACATATAGTACTAAGAGACTAATTTATGTGAATACAAAGTGTTATGCATTCTGTCTTCTTATGTAAATTTTGCGACTTGGAAGAAGGGAATTATTGTGTTAAACCCCCTTTTTATGTGCCTCTTGTCCGTAATCTATGCTCTGAAAAAATGGTCCATGAGAACGAGTTTTTCTCTGTATTTTTTTTTTATCCCTTTAATCGATGGATAGTGCGCCTATTTTAACTTTTTTACAGTTATTCAATTGTAGCTATATATGTTTAATCCATGCACTATACAAAATAGAATGTTGACAATTTTGTGTATTCATAAAAATGCGTTGTATTTGTGTTTATTTTTTTTTAAAAGAGAAATAATAACTTTTCAATAAAAATATTGGAAAAAGGAGAGACCATGCGTAACCCTAATTAAAATAGGATATCATAGACATACCGCAGTGAGGTGAGAGTTTTTTTTTTTGCTCCGTGTTGAAGGCCTCGCTGTGACTTTGAGATGAAGAACAGCAATAAAAGCGCTGTTCCTTTGCTTATTGTTTGTTTTTTTGCTGTGCATGTACTGATTTTGTGTCATGGATGGATACCCCATATCCTTTTTTTTCTATTATAAGTATTATATCAAAACAGTTACAAAATGCGAAATTTTAACAGCTTTCTTAAAGAGTCATTTTGACGTTAAGTGGCACTACTTGTGATGAATGCAACTGTACAACTTTTAAACACCCTGTACACATATTAGTTTCAGTTATTGCCGATCATTGTCCGGTTGGAAATTGGATAAAAGTCAATGGAATGTGCTATTTATTTAGCACACAGAAGCTGAAATGGAAAGAGGCAATAGATGAATGTCAACAATACGGACAGTCTGTTACATCATTACAGTTCTATTCCAAACAAGATAAGGTGCGTATACATAAAACAACACCAATAAGGAATGAACACGGTTTGCAATCTTTTTTTTATGTTCAAATCAATGCAGAACAAGGTGAGGGTAGAGTGTTGTTCATTGACATAAAAAAAATAATGTCATAATGTTCTTAAAATAACAATTGTATTTACCATTGTCCATTGTAACATTTAATAGATACTAGTATATAATACATATACCAAATGACATACAGGTAAGAGGTTTAGTTGTTCATCGTATAGTGCAAATAAACAATTCTACATGATGGGCATGTTATTGGTGCTGATCTTGTTTTTAATGATTAAAGGGGCATTAGCTGCGAGATATCAAAAAAATTAAAATATGATTTTTTTTTCAATCTTTAATGAAAGTGAAATAGTGAAATAATAATTCGCTTTTAGCAGCCAATTTAGTTCAATTTTGTCAAAAAAAGGTAAGAAACATCGCTGATGAATAATTCGACCTCGATGAATCCGTATAAATGTGAACTTCAATTTAACCCCCTAGCTAGAGATGTGTTATGCATGAACTAGGCGTGTTCAGCTATTAAAAGGAAAAGAATGTCAACATTGGAAGTGAAACAAGGGTAAACCATTTGGTTGACTGATTCTATCCGCAAAAAATCATTCTTATACAGGTAAAAACAATGATTAACATATGTTTTTAACCTATAATATGAAATCAAATAGACTTAGAAAAATCCAATTGCACGAGTTCGCTTTCTATTTATATCTTTATTTATGTTTATAACGGGTTATATGACCGTCGGCTGTCTTCGGAGGTCACCTCGATTGTTAATTAGATGGCGTATGGACTAAAATACACACGAAATGCTGATACATATTATCGAATCCATGCATCGTAAATTGTTTATTTTAGGCTTTTTATAATTTGGATAAACGTTTTAGTACGTTATAAGTCGAATATGAGAATTTGAGTCAAATCAGTGAACATGAATTTGACAGCTTATGCCCGTTTAAGGCCTCGAAATGTCCACTATTCCAGCCAGTCAACTGAAAACAATATCTTTAACCTGACGATGAACTCATTTGATGAATTCATAGGACTTATTCTCATACACATACAATCTAATTAAAATATAGAACTCTATATACGTAGTAAAACGAAATCCGAGTTCTATATTTTAATTAGATTGATACACATATGAAGCATAATTCATACAAAACCCTTTAGTTTAGTTTAAACATGGTTATTGTCTAAATTTACAATAGAATTAATTACAAGTTATAACAACTCAGCATAATCATCCCAAAATAATTACAATATACAACAATTCAAGATGACAGCAAATATATATTCAAGTACAATTAGAAGAAAAACAATATACAGACAATTTATTATGCTTTATTTCATATCGGTTAAGAATTAGCTTCTCTTATTGGAAAACAAGGTGCCACATGACATTCTTTATTCTTTAGTAAAAAATGCCATCGGTCTTTGACAGAAAAAAACGGACCAGAAAACCGGTCGTTAACGGACTGTTACATCTTAATGACCAGTGAGATGTAGTTTCTCTGTTAAGAGTGATGTCCCTTTAATAAAACGCAATCGCGATTCAGACGTTTGGAACATGCACGTATGCTACAGACAAATCAATAGTCTCGATTAGCGTCTGGGTTGATTAACCGGACTGGTCAGATATTTATAGGGGATGTAATAAACAATTAAATATAGAACATCATCCATAAATAGCACTTCCGTTATCCCCAAAATAATAAAAAAAAAAAACAGTAAGCAGTGTAACGTGAGGGTACCCAAATTGCACCTATTTTGATAGTTTTTTCACCTTGTTTTTTCACCTACGTTTTTTTGTGATCTAGACAGAAGTTTCCATTCTGCGTTAATTTTGTAGATGTACCCAAATTGCATCCATGCTTATATTCATATCCTTAAAAGTCTAATAACAGATCTTTTGTTTTATTTCTTTAAATATTTTGAACAATTTGACATCAGTCCATGCTTACTATTCACTTTTTAAGAAATGAATGCTTGTAACACATTTTATTTGCTAATTTTTAAAAGATGACTTTTTGTGGACGTCGCATGGCGACGTTTCCGTACATTTTACTTTTTCCAGTGAACACCTGTTTATGTATACTGTGAACGTTTTGTGTATATCTAAATGTATTTACCTATGTTAAAAGACGTGCATAGTTTCAAATCATAAAAATTCAAATTGTTTAGTCTCTAGGAAAACTTGTAAGATTTCCTCTGCTATTTTTGCTAAATAGGTGAATTTGGGTACCGTGACGCTACTAGTATATCTATATGTGATTATTAAACTGACATTCTATGTTCTTGTAGCTCACGCAATGATGCCCAACTTGACAGTGATATGCATTTTAATAGAGACATGATGTCAAATAAATAAAACGGCTTCAAATATCATTTCACTAGTCCAGGGACAATCTATACTAATATAAATATATAAATATAGCGGCTGAATGATCGAGACTGACAAATCAAATGATCGTTTTGCCGTACTTTCTGATGGAGACAAACTACTCAGCAACAAGAATTATAAAATTATAGAAAAACTGTATTTTGTATTCATATACTGAAAAATTGCACTTAAATGAATGGCAGTGACTTATAGTTATCACTATGACTGGTCTTCACTCTTTCCTATACACGGAAATCGTACAATAACTCGAGTTTGCTTTGAACAATTTGAATTTATGAGAATTTTTATAAACATGGTTCCTCAATGAAATAAACATAATAGTTATTGAAGAACTGGTCATTATCGTGATATATGGACTGCCCATAGGACAGTGGTATTGACTAAGACAGCGATAAAGACTGAGCCGTAGGCGAGGTCATTATCGCTGTCGCCGTCAATACCACTGTCCAACGGGCAGTCCATGTATCACGATAATGACGAGTTCTTCAATAACTATTATATAATTAGTACATTTTGAGGTACAGCAATATTAATAAAAGAATCCTTTTATATGGCGTATATATAACTATGTATATTTATGAAAAGGATTGTGTTCGACATTAATTTCTTCTGTTCCTAATAAAATATGTTCTATGGAATTAACAACTAAGTGTGTGAAATTTTCAAAATGATGATTTCTAAAAATTATGTAGAATAGACTTTCTAGGAAAAATGAATCGCATCTTCTAATGGACACCACAAGCTCATCTTGGGCTATTTACCAAATTAAGTCTGTACAAAACAGCTTTAAGGGGACTACATCTGTGTCGTAAATATGTTTTCTCTCCAGTAAGGTAATATTCAGGTACCCAATAGAAAAGAAACATTTTTCTGAATAGTATTTTTATCTTAATATTCATTCAAGTGGGAAAGAAATACATATCATCATTATAATGTATTTTTTTTTTCTTGCCGACGTCGATCTTAGATTTTACAGTCGCAAATATCAGTTATCTTGTCTCACGGTAAAATCAATGATCATACAGCGAGGAAATCAACCGTTTTAGAATGCTATTTTTTTTTCTGTATGTGTACCTTTGATAAAGAATGTAAGTTTTATCTGCCACTTCTGAGAGTAAATTTAAAACATTTTTGAAGAAATTTTTAAAGAAATCATAACTTTAATCCATGTAATTTGTTTTAGGATTCTTTTCTTCAAGCCACAAAAGTAATGAGAATAGAACGCTGGTGGACAACCCTCAACGAACTGAAATCTCCTGGAACATATTTATGGGGGACATCAGATTCGGCATTAAGACCAGGCGATGGTATACTGTATGCATATTATGAAATTATAATTGTAATCAGGCTTGCGTAATTTAAAGATCCGACAGAAAATTACAAGAAATTCGTGACTACTGCATTTTTAATAGACTGCAAGGACAACTTTAGTTTAATTAACTATTGAAAAATGATTGATTAAACGATTGCTGCTTGATTTCTAGCTGAAAATACTACATGCATACTGTCAGTGTCCACACGAAAACAATGTTAGTATAATCAGTTCGTTGATTGTGGCCATTATCTGACAGAAGCAGACACTAAGTTCTTTTCACAGATATTTTTTTCGAGTTTCGCATTTCGTGAATTGATTGATTGCTCGGTCACTCTTGATATATTTTTTTGGATTTGAAATTTCAGATTAGTTATTCTATTAATCACTATTTGCTTCTTTTTTTTTTACCTTTTTTAATTTGTATTCCATTGGTAAGAACCAACCAGCTTTGTCACGTCATTCAGTATTTTTAGACCGCAAAACGTGTATCAATAGTTTTGACAGTTTTGACAAAGGTTAAATATATGAAATGAGATATAGGGTATATGTTAACGAGACAGCAACCTCAGAAAAACGTAAAAACACAAAAGAAATCTACATGTAAACATACGGCCTTCATCAATAGACAAGTATATTTACCATATATGCCAAGCTCTATATTGTCCGACTGAGTCTAGACGATGATTCAAATATATCTTGACGTAGCTAGTCCAAATAATTATGACGTCTTGAAAGGCTATTTTATTTGTTTATTTTTTTGCTGCGACGCCTTCCTACGATTTTGATTTTTTGCTGTGACGCCTTCCTACGATTTTGATTTTTTGCTGTGACGTCTTCCTTCAATTTCAATTTTTTGCTGTGACTCCTTCCTACGGCAGTTTTACACAAAAAAAAACCCGTATCATAAAGAATTTTATCTAGATGGTGTCAGTTTTGTTCGAATACTTACTATATGCACACACTAAATATCAACATCTTGTCAGTTCAAATTCTAAACATAAATTCCCGAAAACAAAACCATATCAAGTTATTTTACGATAATTCTATACCTGGTCCATCAGATATTTGCTATGAGGTTATTTAACTTACTACAAGATATAAAATAGTAAAACAAATCCAATATATTCTTGATGCTGCAGAATATGGAATTTTGAACCAGATGATACCAAACATTTAGAAAATTGCGGTGCTATAAGTATCCAAGCTACAATCAGTGATGAGGATTGCAAGGAAAGGCATGGCTATATTTGTGAATATATCCTTACTGGTAACTATGTTTATCGCAGTTACATTTGTAGACATTTGATCACATACCCCAAATATTTACAATCAAATACAGAAAAATCTGCAGTTTTTTTACGTAATTTTGAAATATTAGCTTGAAATATATTTTTAAAGAAATTACCGTTTAAAGACAAATCTAAATGTCTGCTCGAAAAATATATATGGATATATAATCGTATAGCATATGTGAAGGAAACAAATTTCAATACTTTTGTAGCTAAACAATGATTTCTCAGAAATGACAGGTCATAGAAATATTTCATAATAATCATAAAAAACAGCAAACACATATACGTTAACAGTAACAATTTCATTAACATCGGACCTGAAATAGGTTTTTGACTATTTAAAAAATATATAGTATTATTATATAAAATATTTAGCGAAATTTTCAAGTGATGAAACACTTTCGGCCTCTAAATATATCATATATTAACAGAGACTTAATTATTACACATGGTTTAATGTCATTTTTACAATTTGATTCATGGCCAAGACTGATGCTTTATCTACCAAATACAGCATGTAGCGAAAAATGTCAGTGATAAAAAAGAAGGTAAAAGTTTTGGTGCATAGGTATATCAACTATTTTCTGTACATTTCAGGTAAAACTTGTTTAGATGGCTGGAAATTGTTTAACAGTTCCTGTTACTTTATAAGTGATATAACAGACCCATTCAATAATATACTATGGTCAGATGCGAAACTTAAATGTAACAGTTTGGCGCCAAACGCTCATTTACTCCAACTAGAAACAAATACAGAACAGGTAAATATCATAAAAGTCAAAACGCAAATTCCTAAATATATCGAGATATCTTGCATGTTTTATCATTTCAAACTCGAATTGTCAAGTTGAACATTTAATTTTGTATCAAGTTTCTGCTAAACATATTGTATCATTATCATGTGAAAAATATGGTTTCTCTTAATGAGTCTTTTTGTACATATGTTGCCGACCTCTCATGAAAGAGGTTTTGATTTCAAATCGATTGTCTATCAAAAGTTTTGTTATGATGTTGATTTTGAGTGTCCGGCAGGACAAAAAAGTGATAAGAACAGTAATATTGGATATCATTTGATATCAATTTGAGTTACATAATTTCCATATAATATAAGCGAGCCTTTGAAGCGTATCCAATTCTCATGAGTTTTGAAACCTAGTTTTCAAGTTTAAAAATAACTTTGTGGGGAAATAGTTTAAATTTCGCAAGCTTCTCTTCAAATATATGTTCGCTTGCGATATTAAAAATGAAGACTTCTGTTAACATCAGAAATTTTCAAGCTTCTTGTGCGCTCAGAAAGGAATCAAAGAAAAAGAATATTTTCAGGTGAAACATGAGAGTTTTTTTTTGTATAGTATCGAAGAAATCACAAATTTCCGTTGCCAAGGGGGCTATGTGGCCTTTATATTCAGCATTGACCTAACGAATAGCCAATAGAAGTGTCTCAATTTCGTAACACATTGTGGGAAAGTTTATACAAATTAACGCCTAGATCGAATAACTTATTCCATTCACATACCGTTCAGTGTGATACGAGAAGTTACTATCTCATGGGGGAAATAGACCAGAGAATTATCAATATCACATACCGTTCAGATACGAGAAGTTACTATCTCATGGGGGAAATAGACCAGAGAATTATCAATATCACATACCGTTCAGTGCGATACGAGAAGTTACTATCTCATGGGAGAAATAGTCCAGAGAATTATCAATATCACATACCGTTCAGTGTGATACGAGAAGTTACTATCTCATGGGAGAAATAGTCCAGAGAATTATCTATATCACATACCGTTCAGATACGAGAAGTTACTATCTCATGGGGGAAATAGACCAGAGAATTATCAATATCACATACCGTTCAGTGTGATACGAGAAGTTACTTTCTCATGGGAGAAATAGTCTAGAGAATTATCAATATCACATAACGTTCAGTATGATACGAGAAGTTACTATCTCATGGGAGAAATAGTCCAGAAAATTATCAATATCACATACCGTTCAGTGTGATACGAGAAGTTACTATCTCATGGGGGAAATAGACCAGAGAATTATCAATATCACATACCGTTCAGATACGAGAAGTTACTATCTCATGGGGGAAATAGACCAGAGAATTATCAATATCACATACCTTTCAGTGTGATACGAGAAGTTACTATCTCATGAGAGAAATAGTCCAGAGAATTATCAATATCACATACTTTAACTATAACATCACGTGATTATAGAAAATGTTAGATAATTAAGCATCTTTATAAAGTGATCGATTGATTGGTTGTTGTTTGCTCACTGAATTCCAGTAGCAAATGGATAAGGCAGAATTTATGCCTTATAACTTCATAATAATCTTTATTTTCTTGTTTCGAAATTCCAATAGGGAACATATCTTACATTATTGTAGTAAATAAGACGTTTCGTCTACTGGCCTTCTTAAAATTTTTATGATTGTGAAAGTAAAATGTCTACCATGTAGTGAAAAAGGATAATAAAGAAACTGAAGAAGGCCAGTGGCCGAAACGTCTTAAAAAATGGTTTATTTACTACAATAATCTTAATTGTCATATAAACAAATTTAAATGTTTGTGACAAAAACATACCAATGCAATATAAATTAAACATGAATCATTAATGCTGTCATGTCATTATATAAATATATACAAAAAATATAAAAATATAAAAAATTAAGCTGCTTCTGTCCTCAGTTCTAATGACTATTTAAAAAAATAGCCGATTAGTTCCACATCTGGAATCAGAGCGTCCAAATTCCGACCGGACGTTCCTACGTTTTTATAAATCGCATACAGGCAGCCGGACGCCCTTCTTCAGCAAGAGTTTGACAGGTTCAGGGATGACCACATTTCTATAATCAATCAACCCTTTGGATTAAACTGTGCAAGTTAATAAGCATGCTAAAACGGTAATTTTGATCAAGGCACATGAAGATTGAAGCCAAATACCTTTTCTCATCGTGTAATCGGCAATAGAATAATTGACAACGTTAATAATGATGATTTTACAAAAAAATGTCACATGCGGGGAATCTCTTCTCTTATGAAACCTGAGTTATCTCATGATTGAGGAAAAGGGTATTCATGTTTTGCTATTTTTTGACTCAAGTAAAATTAGGGTTTAAAAACGATTGTAAAAAAAATCCATTTAAAGATTTCATTCTAATAACGGATAGTTTCTGCATTAATTGGCGGTTTTTTTATTAGATATAAAGGTGACTGATATGTTACTATTGTCTAGTTGTATTGCAGGCTTTCTTAGTAAACCAGTTACCTTATATTAAAACGTCATCCGGTCTATGGTGGATAGGAATGACGGACCAAATAGCTGAGAGTCGATGGTTGTGGGTCGACGGTAGTCTTGTTAAACAACAATCCATGTAGGTAATATTTACTAATATCGCCTACATACATTTCGATATATCATTATTATAATTAATCGTAACTTTTTTTTGTGATATTAAAAATCTTTAGGATATGCAAAATTGATAGTTAAATTTTTAAAAAAATTGCCTGAGATACTTTAAATGAAACAAAACATATGAACTTGCTCTATGTTCACAAAAGGAATTTAACACCATATCATTTCATGACTACTTTTATGCTACTCTACAATTGTATAGCATTTTATATTTTAATGACATAATAAATCCTGTATTTTTGTATCCATAATCAGACAATGGGAGAAAGAGCCTGACAATTTAGGAGGCAAAGAACATTGTGCAATGATGTATAACAGCGGTGTCTTCTCAGACAAATCATGTGACTCATTAGCGTACTACGTATGCCAGACATCTCAATTAGGTAATTACTATGAATAATAGATGTACGGATACAAGTCAATTAGACCATGGAAGATAAAATACTTCCATGACCATGGAAGTATTATATAATACTTCCATGATTAGACGAAAAGCCAACAAGACAATAAATTTTCAACGAGACGTAAAACCAACAAGACAATAAATTTTAAAAAGCACAAATCAACATGATATTTACAATGATAGACAAGTGTCTGTCCGAGGCTATGTCAAAGGTCTAAGTCTAAGAAGTTTAAAAATTCTAGATTTTTCTATGTTTTGAATAAATTCATCAGGGACGAGAAAGGTCTGCCAGCAACGCCAAATTTGAACCAAAATTACTATTAGGAGCAATAATAAACAGGTTTGACTTAGGACAGTTTCATCAGTCATGGGTTAAACTAGTTTATCTTGAATAGTGGGATAACAAAGGAATAGAGATGATACAATAAAATCAGATCAGATTTTTAGATTTTTCATGGTTTATCATCCGTTTCAGCATTGGCACCATGCACTACATTTATGCATTTGATAATTTCTTATCTAAATAATTGTGTTACATTTAAAATGTAGAAATTCGGTATGTTTTATGTGTAATAAAGCGAGTTTTCCTTCTCATTCAGTTAGGAAAGTATTTAATTTTCGTTTTCTAGTTTTGAAATTAACGAAATGGAAAAGGCTTTTATTTTTTGTCTTCATATATGTATGAACTAAATACACGTTTTTCTTTCATTTATTATTTTATCTTTGTTCTGCATTATGCATTTTATTTTGATATTGAGTGTGAATATTAGTGCAACGCTATTACAATTTAAACTAACTATTATTCTAGGTGACAGTGGATTATTGAATAAAGTTGGTTGTCCGCCAAACTGGATACGAGGTGGTCATAAATGTTACCTCTTTCAAACTGCTGATTTAAAATCTTGGAGCGGTGCTTCAACAACGTGTAGACCTGGCGGTGGTCGACTTCTGCAAATCGAAAGTAAAGATGAAAAGGTATGTTATCTATATGGTATATAAATTTAATGTAAAAATATTATATGATATCTATATAAGATGCAATTTATGATTTTATAGAAAGTAAAATAAAACTGATCGGGCATTGATTATGTTTGGTATATTTATAAAGGAAACAGTTCAGTTTCTTGTATATTCCTCCATTAATTGTGGAGCACTACCCATAGGGTATAATTGTAGCAACTATATACACCTTAAAACATAAGGGAACATTTAATTATGTACAGATGACTGAATTTAGGCAATAATAATTACTAAATAATTAATATTATAATTAATTCATAGCCGGATTGTCATTATAAGATTTTAAAAATAATATTCATAATGTGCTGAGGTGTAAGAACAAGTTAAGTAAGAACTGGATATATTTACAAATAAGAATTTAGAATTTATGTGGTCTTAAATTAAACCTTCTTATAACTGTTAGTTAAAGGTGCTATACATACATCAGAATTTATAATGAAAAGGTTATTTTATAAGACTTATGTAAAAGGGTTGGGGTTTAGAACAATTCAACATATATACATAAGTTTTCCTTCACAGTTTAAAATTACCTTATTTGGGATCTTATCATTATTCTTTAAAGGTACTTGATATCTTAAAACTTTGCAAAAAATTAATTTAGGTCCTAATAAGTCATAAAATAGTAAGATGGTAAAGTAGGGAACTATTTTATTTTAAAAAAGTTTACTTATACTGTACTTGTGTTCAAGTTTTTTATCCTTTTTGTGCGCAGCATGTGCATCTCATAGCACATATTTCTAGCCAGAGTTTCAATGTTTTCATACACAGTTGAGTAACAGTTTATGTCCTTGCTAGTACAGTCCATTATGAGCTGCAGTAGATTCCCTTGTTGTATGATCTTCTTGTATGTTGAGGTATCAATTTCATCCATTGTCTGTTCGATTTTTGAGCAATATTTAGATCTTATTTGCTCCAATTCTTTGCAGCGTAGAATAAAATGTTCTAGATCTTCATTTTTCTGTTCACAGATTGTACATATCGGGTTAACTTTCGGATCGAACTTAGCTCTTTTGGCTTGTAATATGTAAGTTTGAGTACTTATTCTTGCTTTTATTTCTCCTGCCTTTACATCTTTACTATTGTTTTTTACGCTTTTCCATATATTGTGTGCTTCATTTAATGGATTGTTCTGTATCTCTATGTATTTAAGTGATGTTTTTTCCATTTTTTTAAAATGGCATTCATTTTTCCAGTATTCCTTGTTCTTTATTCCTTCTAGTCTTTTCCATTCGATTTTCTTATGTGGTTTTTCTATGTAGTAACTACTAGATTCCAAATTGTATTTTGATAGAGTTTTTTCCACTCTGTTGATAAAGTCTTTTTTCCTCTTTGGTCTGAGAATGCTATTTGTCGACGCAGAATTTCACATTCTATGGTTCCTGAATTTCGAACAATATTCATGAAGAAGGTAAGTAGATTATTGTCTAATGTGATGGCAATAGGTTCTGCTCCTACCAGGGTATAGACAGCCATATTTGCTGTATTATTTGGAAGCCCTTGAATTTGTCGGAGGATTCTCTCTGCCAGTTCTAGCATATCCTTTTCTTTTGCAAGTAAGTTCATCACCTCAAGTCCGTAGATGCTTCTTGGTACTGCATATGTTCTCCATAGCTTGTATGCGACCATGGGTGAAAATCCCCTTCTGACATTTAAACCGGCTCCGAGATGGCTGTATATTGTTGCCCTGCCGGTTCTTATTCTTTCTAAGATATTTGCCCGGTTTTGCTCGTTTCTTTTGATACCTAGATGTTTGGTTTCATTGGTTATATTGATGTCATCGTCTTTGAATTACAGTGTTGATATGTTTGAGCCTTTTGCATTGTATAAAACAGCTTCAGATTTAGTTGGATTGATTTTAACTAGATCTCTGCTTGTATGGTGCTGTACTATGTCTAATATTCCTTGTACGTCTGCAGTACTATTTGCCAGAACGGCAATGTCATCGGCACATGTGGGTGCAGGGATTTGTATATCACCAATACATGCTCCAAGTCCACTTTTTAAAATGCTATCCAGTATGACGTTGTTGTAGCATTTATATAGCGTTGTAGATAGTTTTGCACCTTGTTGAATACATTGTAACACCATTACATCTTCTGTACATTAACCTTAATGCTCATGCCTTTATACAAGTTTCTCAGTAGTATCCAGAGTTTTCCTTTTATTCCATAATCATGGTACAGCTTGTTGAATAGTATTTCATGGTTTAGTTTGTCAAATGCTTTTTCTGCATCAAGAATTATTAAAATCATCAGTATCTTTAATTTCTTACTTTCTTCGATTGCTTCTGATTTGAAACAAATTCTCAAATATACGAATTGATAACTGAAACTTTTTCTCGAAGAAATATAAGTTAAGAGCTGAACATAAAAGATCACATTTTACTTTGAACTATTTCACATGCTGCAAAAAGTATGGTTTCTTGAAAATATATTAACTAATTTACACATATGTTAACATTGTCTGTATAACCTTAATCTTAAGGAGGCATATAAACTTGCGAATGCGGGAAGGAGTTTTAAACTCCGTTTACACTTGTACGAAATTGAACCGATCTTTATTTGAATCGATCTTAAAAAGAACCATTTCGCGTTTACATTTGCACACGTAAGATCGATCGAGATCTATCTCACTTTAATCTTGTGTGTTAAATTTACACTGCAACATTAAAAGAACCGGTCTGACCTGAAAACTTTACATTTTGTAAACAAACAATCGTAAAAATAGAATAGTATAATATAGTGTGCATCTCGCGCGAAAAATCACACATTGCAAAAACAATAGTTAATTCATTGTTATTTCGTATCTTTTTGGTTCACACGTCACATATGCTTACTTTTCTTATTCCATCCATCGTTTCAAACACGTGTGATTTTGCTGCCAAACATGCGCAGATTTATTTTCGTATCTAAATAATAACATTCACTTGAAGAAAGATCAATCGCGATGGATCTATGCGTTTACACTTGAAGAAGATCGATTCAAATGAGATCGATCTTTTTAAAACCACCTCTGGAGGTGCACTTTTTAAGTCCGATTGAAGATCGATCTTTCCCGTTTACATTAGACTAAAGATCGACCTTTTTAAGATCGATCTAATGAAAGATCGATCTTTTTTGTAAGTGTAAACGGGGTCTTAAATATCAACAAGTTCAATACTTTTGAGCTTTCTTCAGTAACCTTGATTATTCCTTAATACAGTATTTTTGTCTTGTGCCTTTGCTTTTGCTGACTATTATACCGGTATTATAAAGTGTTTTCTGTCTATTATACCGGTATTATAGAGTTTCCTATGTCTATTATACCGGTATTATAAAGTGCTTTCTGTCTATTATACCGGTATTATAGAGTTTCCTCTGTCTATTATACCGGTATTATAGAGTTTTCTCTGTCTATTATATCGGTATTATTAAGTTTCCTCTCTCTATTATAATGCTATTTATAGAGTTTTCTCTATCTATTATACCGGTATCATAGAGTTGTCTCTGTCTATTATACCGTTTTCTCTGTATTATACCGGTATCATAAAGTTTTCTCTGTCTATTATACCGGTATTATAAAGTTTTCTCTGTCTATTATTAAGTTGTCTGCACTAATTTTTTATTGCATGTTTTGCTATGTAACGTTACGTTTTGGTATTCAACTGTTCGATATTGAAATTGGGAATGGGGTCTTAAAAATCTATTTAATGTTCAGGTGCTTCGTCATTGGTTATGTAGTCTTACATTTTAAGGTTGTTGTTCGTTTTTTTTTTATTTTGCTGTGAAGGCACATCTTTGATAGTCTATACCAATTTCTTCAATCTTCAATATAGAGCGTACAATTTTGTATAAAACACTTCTCTTATTGATGTACAAAACGATACCCCCCCCCCCCCGACAAACTGATAGAGATAAGATAACTAATAATAAAAACCTAAGTACCAAAAATAAAACAAAAATGAAAAAAAACGTTATAAATTTCATGTTTACAAAGATGTAAACAATGTTTACAAAGACAGTATGGTAACCTTTAGATGTTTTACGTAAGTTGTTGGTTTGCTGTGTCGTTGACATGATGATGATGGTGATGAAGATCATCATCATCTTCATCAATAGTTCGATAATACGCAATTTTTCAAATATTTTTTTCAGAACTGGATAGAGCTACAAACTAGATATTACAAGGCGTATCCATTCTGGTCTGGTCTAACCTTTCATGTAAATGATAACAACTGGTTTTGGTCCACTGGTATACAGGCAGATATGAATCTCATGTAAATAAACGTTATGTGTTAGAGTGCGTTAAACATACAATCAACTGAAGCTCAATGTATACAATAGGTTTGATTGAGTACCATATGTACAAATAAAACACAAACACGGGTCGAGCCTTTGTTAGTTTTTTTGTTGTTGTTGTTGTTGCATCTCGTTGTACATTGTCTAGCAGCGTTATTCTCATCTTGAAACTACACAACTTTAATTTGATAGTAGGTATAAGACAAAATCACAGGCAAGAAAGTTTAATAGTCCTAGTATGATGATTACTCTTAAAAGTACAACAGCAGGATATGCCTATAATAAAGTCCAGTGTTAGTTCACTAGAATAAAAAAAAATATTAGAAAACGTGGTACGATTACCAGTGACAACCATCACAGACCATAAGATATCTACACAAGTTATTTTGTTTTTCACCAGTTTAACAAGTATTAAAATATAAACTTATATTTCATATTTTCAGAAAATGGAACTCAGAACCAAATAATTACGCCGGAAACGAAGACTGTGGAGAAATATTTCAAGACGGTGGATTTAATGACATGAGCTGTTTATCAAAGGCAAAATACATATGTGAAGTTCATTTAGAAAGTATGTGATAATATTCTGTTGAATAGGCTCGTTTTTCGCTGAAAATTTTCTAAAACAAACCGAGCTATTTTGGCTACAACAGCCTCATAGAGAAGAAACTCAGATTTATTTGTCAAAATTCCGATTATCAAAATTGAAAAAAAAAACTGCCGGTAAACACTGCATCATAATACTATTCCAATATAAACTCAATACATAGACAAGTATGAACATTGACAAGTATATTTTATGACAAATAAAAACTCTATACTGTCATAATTTCATTCAGCAGTAATATTTGCTAATTACAGATCGTCATTATAGATTGAACATCAGTAAAAGGAAATACACATTAACAATTGAAGATGTCGAGTTAACGTCAATGAAACAGCAACCCAACGACAAAAATATCAAAAAGACATCTAGAGGGAAACATACAGTCTTCAACAATAGCCAGATATCCATACAATATGTCAAGCTCTAAATCAATCCTTAGGTTATTATAACTTTAACAGAAACCATCAAAGATTTACTATCAAAGATTTACCATCAAAGATTTGCTATCAAAGATTTACCATCAAAGATTTACCATCAAAGATTTACTGTCAAAGATTTACCATCAAAAATTTACCATCAAAGATTTACTATCAAAGATTTACCATCAAAGATTTACCATCAAAAATTTACCATCAAAGATTTACTATCAAAGATTTACCATCAAAGATTTACCATCAAAGATTTACTATCAAAGATTTACCATCAAAGATTTACCATCAAAAATTTACCATCAAAGATTTACCATCAAAGATTTACCATCAAATTTACCATCAAAGATTTGCTATCAAAGATTTACCATCAAAGATTTACTATCAAAGATTTACCATCAAGATTTACCATCAACACAACATTCATTTGTTTAAGCACTCGACCAACACAACATTTCCTGATTTGACAGCAAAAAAAACCAAAAACAAACAAATATGAGTACGAACCAAAAATTAACATGGACGGTGTTGGAAGATCTACACATTTAATTTAGCATGGCTATTAAAAATCTCCATTATTCTTTCAATATCTTTTTGAGTGTCTATTGATTGCATTAGTGCAGTTCCTTAAAAGATAATTTTTATGTATATGCATAAAATCCTCTTTCTCCGTTCTTTGTGATAACAAAAATTGTTCTACGTGTAAGTAAAGTTTTAGGTCAATCTTTTTTTTTTATCATGAGGAACTGAAGTATAAAGTGTAGAAAGTCATAAGTTACTCTAACAAAATTGACTTTGAATTGAAAACAGTCCAAAAAATCTTTGATTTTTTTTAGATTAAACATTCCGTTCACAACAATAGTGGAGGACATTTCGTGACCATTTTTCATATTTGTCTGTATTTATATTTATGTGTTCATAGCAATTTATTCAGTTATTACAACAATAAGTTTATAATAATATAGCTTTATAAATAAGAGGAAGGTACTAGGAGCATTCACAGTCGAATCATTGTTTGGTAAGTTGTTTTTCACTTGTTCTGTTGATGGATAACGTTTAATTTTGTCAGTTTTATGGACTTCCCCTTTTTGCCTTGGAGTTCGGTATCAATGTTATATTCTTACTTTTTTATCGTTATGTTACCACTCAGAACGCGTCTCCTTCCCCTATAAGGTTTAAACGGTCATCAATGACCGATGGCTGTGTCCGACCAAGCCAGAGATATCCTCGATCGCCTTCACGTTCAGAAGGAGACGCTATATCTCTTCATTGTGGGTTTAGGCCAAGTCAGGTTAATATGACGTCCCGGCGATACATACTATACAAGTTATCCCTAAAAGTATGATCTTACCAGCTAAAGACATTAAATTCTTGTTGTTTACGTGTATATGTAACTAAATGTAGGTGTGTTGTCATGAAATAGAAGTTCCTTCATAATTTAAGTTCCAAATGGAAGAAATATTATGTTATATTATTTCCACTGGAACAAATATTACGGTATTTGTTCCTAACGGAATAAAGAGTATAGAATATGTGTTCCAACAGGAACAGATATTATGGCATTGTTAAAAACAAAGTTTTCAGGGGAACTTTTGTTAGGCGGAACAAATACACGTTGACAGTGTTATGTTTTTTTTTGTATAGTTGCATGAAAAACGAGTACATACACTGATTTTTGTGTTCAGAATTAAAGTATAACGTTACAAAGAATAAGAACTGAGAACGCCATTGATATCCGTTTTAATGCTATTCAATTGTTTTCTTTCGACTTTTTTCCGGTTCAAGGGAAATAACCGATGTAGTATTTGTTTATCTGAATCGATATTTAATTTAAGGTATAGTTATCTCCCATATGCTTGAGAGATGATTAATCTAATCGTTTTAAATCTTTTTGTTTAAACTTAATTTCGATAAGAAGAATCTATAACTGTTAATAAGCCATGTTTTCAAACTTTAAAAGCAAATTGAAATTCGACCATTTAATGCCATGTAAAAAAATATTTAAAAATTTGTTACAAATTATATAAAAACACAAAATGCAAAAAAATTAAAGCAAATGTATCCCGAGTCCCCTGTCTTTAATTCAGATGACCTTTTATTTGTATAGGAACTTTCTTTGTTCACTTGAAATGTTGTTGACGAGTTTGGCGTATAAAGTTTTAATCCTGGTATTTATGATGAGTTTATTTACAACCACTGGTTCGATGCCACTGCTGGTGGAGGTTTCTCCCCGAGTGTATCACCAGCCCAGTAGTGATCACTATTGTGGTGACATGAAATTATCATTGATATGGTCATAATTATAAATTAACTCTTTACAAAACTCTTCGAAGTTCTAAGGATTTTCTACCCCGGGAATATATTACCATAGTTGTATTTGGCAAAACCTTTCGGAATATTGGGTCCTCAATGCTCTTCAACTTCGTATTTTATTTGTCCTTTTAACTTTTTTGATTCGAGCGTCACTAATGAGTCTTTTGTAGACGAAATGCGCGTCTGGCGTATACAATTTTAATCCTGGTATCTATGATGAGTTTAGTAACAACCACTCGGTCGATGCCACTGCTGGTGGAGGTTTCTCCCCGAGGGCCAAGTAGTCAGAAAATTTTAATCCTGGTGTCTATGATGATTTTATTTATAATATTTTAGAAAAACAAAGGATATGGCGTATCCATCCATGACACAAAATCAGTACATTCACAGCAAAAAAACACACAGGTCTATTTCTTTATGAGAATAAAACTGTATTTATATGTTTAATTGTTTGACTATATTTTTCCTGTTAAACTAATAAAACTGTGCTTTCAACTCGTCAGTCAGAAAGTACTATAAGTATTAGTAAGATATATTCATATTTAAGATGGACAAACTGATTAGGTTTTTTTGTCCATACTTATTTTTGAACTTATTTGCATCAAAGTTTAAAGGGGAAAAGTGCCGCTTCAAGAAAGTTTTTCATGAAGACTCTTGTCTTTTTACACTATCAATAACGAATGAATGAATACTTTATTATCATAAAACAAATGTTACAGAGACCATAATAATACATGTTATATGCATGTCTGAATATTAAATAAATAATCAACACTAGAAAGTTTCTAACCTCGACGAACGACCTTCTCTTGGACGTTCTTAATAAATTTTACACAGTTTATCCAAAAGGTTTACATTGTTTGAAGAAAAATAGTTGTTAAAATTTATAAATGTTTACATTTTTATGATAAAATTGGGGAAGCAGATTTTTCTAGCTTTATTAAAAGATCTACATGACATGTTTTGTTTACTTTTTTTTGTGTTCACAAGGCTTTTCAAAATAGGTGGAAATTGTAAAGTTAACTCCTTTCATCGCTGCGAATGCGTTTTACATTTATACTTGGAATTGAAGATTTTTAAATTTATATTTCCTGCAAAGTTGTATGTAATATGTATTTCTTAATGATTTACAGCTGCAGAACCGTAACCTTAATGGTCCTTCAGATATTTGTTTGGATAATTTTCGGTCCAGGGTCCTCAGAAATATTAAAACATGATAAGGACCACTCGCGATGGGCATATGACCCCGTTATAATTATAAATGATAAAACAGACAGGTAAATATTAAATACAAATAAACAGGTAAACAGGTGCAACGTACAGTATATCATTTCATAGATAAAACATATATTTAACTACTCACCTGTATTAGTTTTTTTTTGCGGTCGAATCAATCAATTAAATCTTACTTCCTACTGCTGACTACCGAAGGGCCACTTTTCCAGCTGACATTTGATCAATACTGGACATACTAAGCACATTTCCAACATACAGTTAAATCAAAGATCGAGTGATTCTAGCGTTGGCGTACAAAAATCTAAATCCTGGTAAATAGTGTTTATTATGAATACGGATTGAAATGAGGTTAGATTATTGGCGTGCAAGCCCATTATACACCAGCGATGTATTTGCGCTTATTTTGACAAAATTTAATCAAACTGACAGCTAATAAATATTTTTTAATAAATAGGATTAATTTTTAATGAAGAAAGTGAGCTAAAATGAAGTTTCTGTTAGGTTCAGAGACTAAAGCTAGAATATTGGAATTTTTTTGTAACTACGCATGTATCATGAATAAAAATATAGATGATTCAGTGAAGGAATTGCATTTTTTTAAGTTTACAGTAATTGGATGGACCAATTAAATGGTGCTTTTATTGAATGAGAACTTATTGTTCCGGATCTTTATTAAGTTCATGTTAAATGCTCTATTATAGATGCAGACTGTCCATCTGGGTGGTTTAAGATATTCAGTGATGATTTTAACAGCTGTTACTTTATCAGCAATAGCACTGATTTGGCTACATGGGACGAAGCCATAGACAAGTGTAAAGAACGTGCACAACCGAATGATGGCGCTTTAGTTGCTTTCGATTCTCAGGATGAATTGGTTAGTAATGATTTAAATAGTCTGATGAATTGTTGAAATATCAACTAATATGTTTGTTACATAAGAGTTAGCCAACTGGTTGGGAGACATAAATTCAAAAGAAAGAATATGTTGTATAAAGAAAAATGATGTATGTGCAACTCTAAAAGCGTCTATAATCGACTCACCTTTATCAACCTTTTACATTTACAGTTGTTGTCATGTCATAATGAATGGGCAAGAAAAATATGTCATTTTATTTGTCATTTACTTGTATGTTTAAGTAACAAATTGTCATCTGTGGCCGCTCTTTTGCATTTAATAAGTTCTAAGATTGTTTTACGACCATTAATGGTTAATGTAACATATAAGAACATTCATGGTGTCATTTAAATTATGATGTGGTCTGATTTTTTTCTCGATTTATGGTTTTTGATTGGCCTCTTGGTATGTTCTCCCTCTTCATTAATTTCAGTAGTTTCTTTTCAAATATGAAAAATAAGAGTCGCACATGAAATGAAAAAAAATTAATTCCCTAGTTCGAATTCAAAATTATCATGTTATTTATTTTCTTTTTTTAAGATAAAGCTAGAATTTTGTCGGATTTTTTTAAATGATATACTTATTATTTGAATTCCAGACCAAGGTCATTCAGTTTTTAAACCAAGTTGATCCAAATCCATTTGGTTGGTGGACTGGATTGAATGATAGAAAAAAGGACGGGAATTGGGTGTATTACACTTCTTTTGATAACCCATCTGTTGGTTCAAACGTAAAAATGTAAGTAATATTGGAATGGTTTAATGTATATATATCCTAATAACCTATATTTCAGAAACGAGTGTTGTAAAAAAATTAAATGGAAAGTTCTCAATGCAAAAATTTTTAATCATCTCCATTGTTTCGTTAAAATTACCCATTCCAGACTAGTCGAGCTATATTAAATACAGCCATCAAAAACTGTGTCTGTTTTCATTCATTTAGACGTATGGCTTTACATCAGCTCCTATTATCAGTTATTTTGCAGTAGTATAAGTACGGGTTTTCTTTTCCTTGAAAGAATTATACACTTTTGCCGTATTCAAGCATATAGCCGAATGAGCGGTGAATTTCATAAGCCTTCCCCAGCGAACTGAGCTGTCTTATTTTAATATGTGTATGCATTTGTTCCTTTATATTTTAAATTCAAAATATTTGAACTATATGGACTTTTATGGAAAATATTAGTGCTGGTGCTATCCTTTGTATGAAAGAATAAAGGATGGTCACATAGCAGTTCCGAATATCATAAAATTGTACATAAATTCAAAGTAAGCAAACACCTTTCAATTGAAAAATGTATAAAAGATTCCAAGATGAACGAGACTATAGATGAAGTGCAACGTTATAGAGGATTAGAAACACGTATAATTATTTTTTCAATAAATATATTGTAAAATAAGATAAATATTATGTCAAGTTAATGTTTTACACTTAAAGTAAATGAAGATTTATATTATATTCAAGCCGTCAACTCATCACCTACTCAGTAAAACTTACAGTATCATCTATACTGCAGTCATTGGAACAGTGAAAGGGGACTAGAACACTTTTGACCAGTTTTTTTGTGTGTCAATGATGTATAATGTGTATTCTGTATTTTTTTTATCACAAACTTTCCAATCTTTTTAATTAGATTTGAAAACAAATAAAGTAGAAAGGACATTTTGAATCAAGTTTTGCAGATTGTCAACATGAATGATAATTTTTATTAATTGCATGTCGGTTATTATTGTTTAAGGTGTATACATGTACATGCGTATTATGCTTCAATCAAACTTTTCTTTTCATTGTCAAAATAACTTGTATTTGATGTTCTTCCATCGACATCAAAATCTCCTTCCCGAACGACACTATAAATATATTTTATGTTGAAGAAATTGGAATTCAGAACCCAGTAACCCAGCAACAGACAGTTGTGCTATTATTTATTATGGAGGACGATACAATGATGTAAAGTGTAACAGCAATGTTTCTTATATTTGTGAGAGAGATGCTCATCAGCAAAGCTCATATAATCCTCAAACATCGCATGGTAAGTTTGAAAACCAAGATAAGTATATAAAAAGTTCTATCGCTGCAAATTGCAAAAGACTTACCGACGTGTAAAGTACTCCACTTATAACAAAACCTATCTTAATATACATTTTGATGTATTTGTAATGGTATATTGTTGACATGTTTTATAATGTGCTGTTAATATTCATAACAACTATGAGGATCCTAAGATAAAAATGCGACAAAAATGTAAAAATCTTAATCACTTTTGTGATTCATTAGAGCAAACATTTGTTATCAATTTAAAAATACTCTGCATAACATAACATAACAAAGAGTTCTTCCGACAAAATAAGCACTACAAAATCCCTTTTTTATTCGAAAATACACGACACGCGAGTGAAAGCCTCTAAAAATTATAATTTTTGAATTTTAATATTTATCTTAACCTTTGAAATGTGAAATTATTATACTTTTCTTTTTACAGAATGTTAAAAAATAAACGTATAAATGTTTGATTGAATTAAGATATTTCAGTTTTGTATCATTTAAATTAACACCAAAAAGTAAAAACCGTAGTAATATTCGAAAGTCTTATTTACATAATTTAAATAAGCAAAAACATTTGATTTCAAGTTCAAATTCTTAAGTTATTATACACAAAGCTGACCGTCCGTATATGAATATGCATGTGACGAATGAAAACAAATATGGGTTCGTAACATGTTACATATAATTATAAATATAATTATTTTTTTCTTCAAATTATTAAAGATTTGAATAATTTTTCATTGATATTAAATTCTTCGTTCCTAATAAAGTCTGAGAAACATTTGGTCAACGAGGTGCCGGTGAAACATCGGTTAAATACGTCCGTATGAAGACATATTCTCAACTCGAACGTCCTAATAGTATTTGTCAAAAAGTATTATCAATTGTTGATATTAAAGTGTTATATAACTTAATTAACTGTTGTGTATTTTTACAGGGTTTCAAAACCTGCCATTTTATCTCAACACTGCAATGATGGTGATCATATGTTGGTTATATTAAAGATCTGTAGCAGTCATAATCTGACAATAGAACCTTTAATGTGCATTTAATGCATTTTATTAATCTGGCTTATTTTGTAAAATTTCAATGTTATATAAAAAATGCTTTTAAAGTTCAATGTCATTTATTTTTAATGTTGTTTGAAGCACAATGTATAAATGAAAATTCCTAATTGTTCAGGACTAAAAGGAGATGTGTATTTGCAAGGATAACGCAACTCTATAACACAGTATTACCTGAAAATACACCTGTTATCTCTTGCTTTCAGTTGATGGTGTTCATGTCTGATTTTGAATTATCTTCACTTTTTAGGACTTAAGACAAGTTTAACATGCTTTCATCGAACATGTCTTTCTATTTGTCTTTGTTCGAAGTAGACTTTAAATTCGGAAGGGAAATTTAAAGATGAAATTTGTGAGGATCTAATTTTGTTTGTATGAAATCAATGGCATTTGAAAATGTGTTAAAATATATCACCAATCGTAGATCGAAAGGAAATTTGTTTGAGGTCAGTTTGAAAGTTTAATACCACTACAAACTTGAATTCTTCAATGTCCGATGTCAGACTCAAAATTGTTTTGAATTACAAGAATTGCACTTTTTTTTAAAAGAAGTCTGAAATTTTATGTTTTTGCGAAGATGGTTTCGCAAAATGTTTTCATTTTTAATCTTGAGAGGAAATCGGTTATATTAAATTTTAAGACACATTTTTAATGTTAAATTTATTCATTTTTACCGGTACGTTCCCTGTCATATTTGTGATTTACAGCTTCCTCATTGAAAAAAGAGGAAATATACTGAAGGGGCAATCAAATATTGTTCTATTTTATTCCACAATCATATGACAGAATATTTGACGGTCAATAGTTTCAAGGACTATTGCCCCAGTATATATATAATTTTGCCACACATTTTCCAATCTGTTTAAATATTTTTTTCTATTGGACACAATTTTCACGTGTTCGCTTTCTTTGCCTTTTCCCCATGGTAAATTGCAATATTGAAATGTCGAAAATAGGAAATCCGAATACAGTAGAACCAGATAACTGAATGTGTCTGTCGTCATCGTCATCTAAGTTTGTTTTCATATTTATAAACTACTCACAAAGAGCAATGTCTATAACAAAACAACAAAAAATTAAATGGAAGAACCAACTTTTTTTTATAGAAGTACAACATAACAAATTACTGATTGGTTTGTCGTCGTTTCACTTTGATGTAAGATAGTATATTTATTAGTTAAGCAAACATTTGCATGGTAATTTAATAAAAGAAGATTATGATTACACAAAATAAAATATTTCCAAATAACACAAGGACAACAAAAAGGTCGTGTCATACATCACGTACATATATTTTGTCAGGTGATGTATATAGATTTCTTTTATGTTGTCATGTTCGATGTAATAAAACCCTAAAAATCTGGTTATTAGGGAGTAATGACAATTTTTTTCCCCTTCGATAACAACCATTTCCGGCTTCAACATTAGAAACAGTTTGATTCTGGAGTACAACAAACTTGCTATTGCCTAATAACTAAACGTTGTCGGGTTGGTTTAAAATAAACCATTTCCAAGGTTTTGGCGATTCTTAATTTGGACGAAATGCTACAAATATGAAAAACCCCAATATGACTTTTCTTTAATAAAGTCACAGCCAACCTGTGTCATGAAGGTTTGGCTAATATTCACATTTTTTAAAAGGTGAATTTACAGGACCAAATAAGCCCAAAAATGTCAAAGTATAGAAAAGATGCAGGCATATTAGGAGACGCTTATCCTGTCGCAGGACACTGTCTCGCTCCTTTTGCAGTTCATGCGAATCCTTCAATTTTGTTTGTTATCTTGATTTGTCTCTTCTCAATCAATTTACGAGATTTGAACATCGGTGCTACAGTCGTCTTAATTTAAAGAACATGTAGCATTTAGTGAAACATGTCAACGATTTAGGCTACACACCAGCAATTTGTAATGTCGATCGTTATACTATTATTATAAATACCAGTTTAGGTTGAATATATCCCTGCCTGAACATTTAATTTGACAGTGATTGTGCTTCTTAAAGGCAGATACTATAAAAGAACTATACTAGAAACAGAATGAATAATTGTGTGAATTACTAGTATATAATATGCATGTTTTACCACTTCAATAAAGAAATATTTAAAAAAAAAACATAAGGAGTGGTGTTTGAAGACCTCATCAATTTAAAACTTCGGCATTCGAAAAATAACGTTTTATAAGTATCTTATGTTTGAATAAGCATGGTTTCTTAATATGTTATTTTTGATGTATCTTTACAAGATACGCATACCCTGTTTCTTCCTATTTTGTGATAAAAAAAATATGTAAAATTTCAGTATTTCTACATAAGAACAAATAATTTATAAGTAAAAAAATCCAAGCAATCGGATTTTTATAATAAAACAAATAAACAATAAACAATACAAATATGTAAGATTTACAAACAATATAAAGAAACAATGTTTTTTTTTTTTTGCTCCTTTTCTTTTTCTTAAATACTAGACAACATGCATTCCCTAAAATTAGCATAACAATAATTATATTTAGAACAGTCATATAAAAAGAGAAGAAATAATGCTTACCTCTATGATATATTCTTTCAAATATTAGGTTATATTGAAATGCAAAAAATGTATCAATATAAAACCATATCTCTAAAATTCAACATTTCATGCATATTGTTAATATTGTTTCTGTAATTATAATTTCAAGTATGCCAGTAACAATAATTGTCAATATTTCATATTCTTCACAAGAGAAGGAAAAATCAACCATTACTCATTGAAATAAAAAACTAGGAACAATATCAGAAATTTAATTCATCATCTTCATTCTAGAGTTATTGAATTGTGGACACATTATTGTGAAAGGGAATTCATCTTCCATTTTTTCTTCTTCTTCCATATAAGAGTTGGGTTTCTAAATGAAACGTTTAAACTCTGAGTGACTACGCATGATGACATTACAAATCTAGTCCCCTAAGGCTATATACAGTAATTACAATAAAATCAGGGGCCGGTTTCACGAAGCTATCCTAAGACCTGTCATAAGATATATCTTAGGACATGTCTTATGATCCTCTTATGACTATCCTAGGACATATCTCAGACCACGCCTCGAAGCTGTCTTAGGATGATCTTAGCTAAGATATCCTAAACCTGTCGCAAGTTCTTTAAATTTTTAAATATTAACATGGATTCATGGAAAAATTCATGTAAATGTATTATGTGTTTCCAATAAATTACTTAACTTATTGATTAACATTCCAGACTTAGATATTTCGTAAAATTAATATAAAGCATTAGTTTAATTTATATAAATAATCTATTAATAATACACCAATATGCATATAAAAATTCAAATAAAAATTTGAGAAAAAAAACCAATAAGCTGGTGATTATTTGATTTTGTACAAGTGAGTTGAATTCAAGTTTTCACTGTATCGGTTATAAAAAGGTTAAAGGATAAAATCGTGCATTTTTGATATAAATAAATCGAATGTTCATTGTTGATAAATCATTGTTGATAATCCGCCAACCTATAAAGATTTTGTTACTAGTAGATCAAGGAGATTAGATAATCAAATAATAATAACATAATTTGCAAAATCAATATAAAAAATAAGTGTAATTCATAAAAATAAACTTATGACTATCCTAAGACCATCATAAGACACCTCTCGTGTAGTCCTAACTTTATGACCAACTTTAAGGGATGTCCTAAATTAGGACCACTTTGTGAAACACACTTAGGACTAAGATATGTCGTAAGACCATCCTAAGACATATCTTAGTCCTAAGACAGCTTTGTGAAACTGGCCCCAGATTGATACTGTTAAAATTATTTACAATGTTGTGTCCGGTATAAATGTGTAGTCTGTAGCCCTGAACGGATCCCGCGTCAGCAACCTTGGCAGGTAATGTATTCCATTCCATGATTGTTCTTGGAAAAAAAGAGTTCCTGTAGACATCACTGGTTCCTCTGTTGGTAAAACTTGTTCTTCTGTCGCCACCTTTGAAGTAACTACATCTGTTGATATCTATCAGCTCATTCTGAATACGATAGAGCATGCATTTCTACATTACATAGGGAGCACGATATTTTTTCTAAAGCTTTTTTTTTTATTATATCTTCCACATTTAATAGCTAGCGTGCTGTTTCTGATTCTTATTTTGAAATAGTTTATAACATTTTTTTTATCTTAATTCAATAAAATATATTTTTAAGTTCATACTTTACTTTAAATTTTCTTTCAGTTCTTAGCGTAGTCAATTAATAGAATTCGCATCATCAAAAAGACAATTTTTTCAGTATTCTACTTATGAGGAATTGAAGTGTAAAGAGTACAAAAGTTAAAAGTTTAGTATTCTAATATGACGTGCTTCTTACGCTTTGTAAACAACACCGTGATAAAATTCTCGATATATCTATACTTAGCGCAGACTCAGAGATATTCATAATAATGGCTGTTATAATATACCTCCCACGTAAATCCACATGTATCGTAACCTATTTGCAAACGCAATGCCGATTTTGTTGTGTTAAAATTGTAATTGAAAAAAGACTACAGAACCTTTATTCTTATGATGATGCATAACAAAAAGAATTAATGTATTAGAGCTCGGAGAAATGTACAAAATCAAAACCAAATAAAATTCCGCGAAAGTCCATTAATGCTTTTGGCGCATTAAAGTCATTTCAAAACATGACGTCATACAAATGAAAACGCTAAAGCTGAAGGGTTTTCCGTTACGTGAACCATCGAAATTCGGATAGTATTGCATTAAAATGGAGTTTTGCGGTAGGTGTTATTTTATTTTCTACTCTTTTGCATTGTTCCCACATCTACTGATTTCAGCAAGTCAACATGGCGGCTCCTTAGATACGATTTGTCAACTGTTGATTTGACGGTAGCTTAAAAAAAATGTAAATAAAAAATAGCAAACGTTGGGGTTTAGGAATAAAAGAATTAATCACATTTTTTCTAGCAGTTATTAAGAAATAATTCATGCAAGCTATAGATTTATTGGAAATGTTGTAGCTTTATCAAACAGGGAGTAAAAAAAGACCTGCCACACACACGGCTTACCCACCCTCGCTTCAGTTTTTAAATTACTGTATTTGTCCTATTAGAATCGAAATAATTCATAGATTAGTTGGAAATTTACACATGGCCTGGGCCGTGATATACGTTAATTTCATCCCACGCTAACGCTCAGGATAAAATTCGAATATAACGGCATAGGTCATGTGTAAATTTCCAACAAATCTATGGCTTCCATGAATTATTTCTTAAATATCACCTGTTTGTCTTTTAATTGAAAACTAAAAATCTAGATTTCCTTCCACCTTTTCAGATCTGTTATTATAATTGATTGATTGATTGCTCTAACTCATATATTTGATTACAGTTTATTCAGTCTTTTCAATAATAATAGTTATAATAATTATATCATAATATATTGAAATATCAATAAACATATAGATTAGATTTTTACTGTAAAACATTTATATTATTTCAAAAGTTCTCAAATCCTGCTTTATGTTATCATGTAATGTGATAATTCAGGAATTTGTGTACAGCCAGTTGTTTTCGTTTTAAGGAATAAATTTATAAGGGAACCACTCAGAATGCGTCTCCTTCCTCCTGCTCCCCACTTAGGGAGGAGAGGAACGGTCATCAATGATCGAAGGCTAGGTCCCACTAAGCTAGGGACAGCCTCGATCGCCTTCACGCTCAGAAGGAGACGCTATTTCTCTTCATCGTGGGTTTAGGTCCAGTCAGGTTTATCTGACGTCCCGGCGATACATACTATAGAAATGATCCCTAAAAGTATGATCTTACCTGGACAATATAAAAATTTGGTTTTGTTTACGTGTATTTGTCACTAAATGTAGGTGTTTGTTGTTTTTGAGCAGTTGCATGGAAAACAAAGGAAGAAACGGGTCTGTGAACTTAAAATTATGATAATAAAAATGAAATGAAAAATAAGAACTGAAAACGCTATTGTTTTCCATTTGAGTATAGACATTAAAAAGTGTTCGTACTTTGTTTGCAAACATTCCGGTTCAAGGGAAATAATCAATGTCGTGTGTAGTTTGTACGAATAAATATATTGTTATCTCTCGTTAAATAGTCGATTATTTAAATGTAGGCTTGAGAGATAAATGATTTAATCACTATAAATCTCTTTGATAATTTTTTTTATAATACTGTTCATTCAACGTTTTAAGTTTTTGAAAGTTTAAATCAAATTGAATTCAAAATTCATATCTTTGTTTCAATGTATTAAAATTTATAAAAAGCTTGTTACAAATATATACAAAAAACCTTGTTACAAATATATACAAAAACATAAAATATACCATATAAAGGATACAGTAAATGAATGCAATAAAAGATCAAGCAAATATATTGTTGAATAAAATAGTTTTTTTTATTATATAACAGGTTTACTAAATTTTTCGGCCAACATATTAAGACTTAATTAACAAAAAACCTTTGATATGTAAGGGTTTTGACTGATTTCGATATTGATTTCATTATTGTTTTGTTACCGCTCAGGATGCGTATCCTTCCTCCTACTCCCCACTTCGGGGGGAGAGGAACGGTCATCAATTATTGAAGGCTATATCCCACTAAGCCAGGGACAATCGCCTTCAGAAGGAGACACTATTTTTTCATAGTGGGTTTATGTCCAGTCAGATTTCTCTTACGTCCCGTCGATACATACTAAAGAAAATGATCCCTAACAATATGATCTTGCCTAGATAAGATATTACTTTCATTTTGTTTACGTGTATTAGTGACTGAATGTAGGTGTCATATTTTTGTATAGTTTCATGGCAAACTAGAACGAAAACGAACTTTTGTGTTCAGAGTTATTATATTACAAATATAATACCATATACCAACGCCATCGTTTTCCATTTTTATCTTGAAATTCAGATGTTTCGTTCGGCTTTTACAAGGGAAATAACCAATGTAGTATTAATGATATTCGATTTAAGTAATAGTTATCTTTCTTTATATAGTCGACTGATTGCATGTAGACGTTAAGGTTGCACCTTGTAATTTTGACTGCTCCATAGGCTTACGTGCAAAACAGCAGATCTTTGAATTTTTTTTTAAATAAAATGCTACATAGAAAAATTTTTTCATGTACATATCATGTATGTAGTAATGTGAAATTGTGATTTAATGGGAAAAAAAGTGGGTCATGCCACGAAGAATAAAAAGTTATGAAACCCTGAAGTCAAAAATTTTTTTTCTACTTTCTGTTTGCTGTTTTTACTAGGCCGCACCACTTTCAGTAAACACGATATCCTTCAACTTTCCTGGTTTGATATCCCCAAAAAGATGCAATATTTTTTTAAATCTAAATAGGTGTTTCGATTCAGCATAAACTTTTAATCAAACAGAAAAAATCAAGTCCAGAAAAAAATTCAGAAAAAATGGACTATTTTTTATTAACTCCATGTTTTGATATCATGCACCGGAAACTGGAGTTGTAATACAAGACTGGTACCTTAAATATGCTTGAGTCTTTTAGATTCAATCAGATCTTAGTTTATACATAAATTTCCGTTTTAATGATGTAAAATATTAACATGGTGACCGATTTCTTTTTAACGGTATACTTCATCTAAAGTGGTGTTCTAGGTGAAAAAAACCCACAAAACGTCAAAATAAGCAAAACGTTATCGCGTTGTACGCCGTAAAACGTCGAATTCCTACCGTTTTTCACTACCAACTAGGTAACAAATTGGTTATTCAATCCACCAAAAACGAAGTCGCTGACCATATGATTATTTTATCATCAAAAAGGAAATTTATGTATCAACAACGAATAGTTTTTTAAGAAAAGTCCAGGAATTTGAAATTGTAGATTTGATGATTTTAAGACAAATTTAAGATCGTATTTAGCCGATTTTATGTGCTTCCTATACAAATATTCATCCATTTTGAAAGAATTCAATCAGTAATATTTCTGAGAATAAAAGAGATAAGTGCATTATTTTTTTCTCTATTTTCAATTATAGTTCAACGAGCCTAAGTAGTATGCAAAATTTAACCAACATCTGTGATATAGCCCGTTTACTGTTCCTTGACCGTAAATCATACAGTATGTATAGTTTAAGGCATACAGTAAATACAGTTTAAAGCATACAATATATACAGTTTAATCCATACAGTAAATACAGTATAAAGCATACAATATATACAGTTTAATACATACAGCAAATACAGTTTGAAACATACAATATATACAGTTCAACGGAAGGTACCAAGACCTAATAGAAAAAGTAGTCATTGTCACCTTTACAAATAATACAGGATGTTCTTGAGTTTTAGATTCTTGGTACAGACGACGTGTATCATTTTATATACTTTCGCAGTTTTCACTTTATTTGTCTTAGTATTATTATGTCCCTTTCGGTCGTATGGTTCTTGTCGTAGACCTGTTTTTGGCATCAAGCTGTTGGATTTATGGCTTTGTGCGTTTCGGACACATGCAATTTTATCGTAATATTTGCATTTCGTGATGTATGTTTACACAATTTTAGGTGCTGGATCCCAATTTTTGTCACATTAACCAATTATGTCTGTCAGGGTTGCTCGCACACTTTTTTCAATATAACGAAACTATATTCAACTGTCATACCAGTGAGAGATTAAAATAGCGGAAAATGCTTATACCAAGTCAGGAATGTAATAGTTGTTTGCCAGTCGTTCCGTTAGTCTAATATGTCAAGTTTAATGGACTTCACCTGTTTAGATTTACCTTGGAGTTTTTGGTATTCATGTAAATTCATTTTTAATGTTGCTTCAGCGCGAAACTTGTTTCGTGTTGCTAAGTCTTTTAGTTTTTCTGTGTTGTGTATTGTGATTGTTGTTTGTCTATTCGTAAATATTTCGTTGGCGTATGTATGTGTTAAAATATTCCTTTGGTATCTCCAGACTCTCTTGTTTTAGATGCTATAGTAAAATTGTTTCCAATTCAATAAAGGAACATGCAATAGACGACCTCCGGGTTATATTGATGTAGGATTGACAACGTTTTGATTATTCCGGGTCTTTCCTATTAGAACAAATACTTTCATAGTATTACTGTTAAAACGTTTAAACCCTCTGCATATTTATGCACTTGTCCTAAGTCAGGAGCATGTTGTTCAGTTGTTGTCGTTTGTTGCTGTGGTTAATAGGTGTTTCTCGTTTCTCGTTTTTTTTATATAGATTAGACCGTTGATTTTCCTGTTTGAATTCTTTTACACTAGTCATTTAGGGGCCTTTATAGCTTGCTGTTCGGTGTGAGCCAAGGCTCTGTGTTGAAGGCCGTACTTTCACCTATAACTGTTAACCTTTTTATACATTGCGACTTATATGGAGAGTTGTCTCATTGGCACTCATACCGCATCTTCTTATTTATATAAGCAGGAATGCATTATTTTTGATTTCACGAAATGAAATTGAATACTAACAAAAAAGTTTGACTTTTTTGTCGGTCTCTTAAGGACTGCATTATTATATTGATAACATAAAACTGTGCTTATAAAAGTGACTCTTTTTTTTTCCCGAGCATGAAAAGATGATTTACCACCTGGAACGCAAGCCCTGTGATATCGTATCAACTTGGAGATATATACGCAATAAGCACATTAGGAAGACGGTGGCAGTAACTAATAGTTCACAATGGAAAATTTGAAAACATTTCTTGTTTCGAATAGTATATATTTTCACCCCACTCACATTGTCAGTTTCTAGATGTAAATCCAGAGTGTATCTGTGAATCCTTTCTTTCAATTCAATTAGATAGGTTTGATGGTCACCAAAACTTGAATCATTAAGTGAAAAGAGATCACCTTTATAGCGAAACGTAAAGTTATCATGCACAAGCTTCGTGTCATTCTTCCTGAGAAGCTCCTGTCTGATGTCTGCCTCATACGAATAAGACAGGTCGAAAAGAAGAGTTCAGTTTATGTCCCGTAGAAAAACGCGCACTCGAAACGTGAGAAATAATTAATTTGTCAATAAAACAAACAATCAACTTGATAATTTCAGCGTCAGATTTTGTTTTAATCTGATTGGTTCTTTTCACAAAGAATTGTTTGTCCCTTCCTAAAACAAGATAATTCACATAGGAATAATATCAAATATGTACAAGTTGAATTAGAAAATACAGATAGGAACATGGCCATTTGTTTTGTAAGAAAAAATGGACTTATTCTCTCGATGTTTATGTTAGAGTGAGGAATACTTGTGTATAGGGTCGAGAAATCAAATGTTTTACGTTATTGAGAGAGACTTACCCTAAGATCCTTTGTTCTCTGACAGATCCTTTCAATCTCGTAGTATCCACATTTGAATCACACCGCACCCAATTAAGCTAGTTTCACGGTATCTATATAAAGCTGGCTTTTGATTGCTGAGGAAATAGATGCATAAAATTTGTAAAAGATATTTAGAGGAACATTTGGCAAACCAAACAAAATAATTTTATAATCAATTTATGAAATTTGAACATCATTACACTACTGTTGCCTCAATTCAGTATTATGCTTTTTAAGTTTTATTTAACATTTATTGTTTTATGCATTGACTGTTCCAAATTGTATTGTTTAGATGTATTTTGTAATATATGTGTTTTTGCTGTTATGTAGTCGATTTTAAAAGCTTACTATAGGTTGTGTTTGAAGTCTTTCGACTGAATATCAACGTTAAACTAAACTTTGAAATGAGTTCATATTTTTCATTATCTTAGAATCAAATTTGTATATTATATAACAATTTTATTCAATTTCTCAATACAAACATAATTTCCAGACAAAAAGTTTGAAGGCG